TTTTAAAAAGGCTTTTCTGTAATATTATTGGAGCCGTCGCGCGTCGCTGCACTGAGTCGAAGAGATTCTTTTCTCATAATTTTAAATTATTCCATTGTCTTTACTCGTACTTTTAATATCTTGTAGTTTTACTAAATAAAATTAAATTTATTTTTTAAAAAGACTCTTTTGATTTTTCTTCGAGCATAATTAACGTAGTTTGCAATTTTTTTTTGATCGATAATTTATTTTAGCATCAGCATCATGTACTAATTTTAAGCTCTTCTAACCCAGTATTGCCAACTATTTCAATAGTTGATGATCGTCAATTTATTCATTAATTTCTAATTATGATTTCAAATTTACAAAATTAATTACAATTAAGATGATTAGACATAAAATTTCATTCGCATTGAAAACGTATTCATGTCAGTCTAACATTTCTAACAGGTATACGAGTAGAACTGAACCCGTTTTAACAAACACGTACACCCGAACATAAACAAACCCCATAAATGTACATCGAAATAATTTAACTGGCCCGGCACAATTCGCAAATACCGACACGCGAGTTGATATTCGGATTCGAGTACTGGCATTTCGCGCGTCACGCTGTCATTCCTGCGCATTGTCGCGTATAGATGGCGTAGCCGACACACAAGGGCCACAATGCCGCCGATGTACCCATTGTGCCCGTTCGGCGGGACACTGGTCCATTGATGGCGCGACTGTGTCCAGATTAACTATTTGGATAGAGATAGGGCCATTGTAGTGATAAATCGGTAAATGTTTGCTCGGATTGTACGCGAATCGGAAATGATTTACACGACTGGAAAAATAATGGGCTACGGTTTTGCGCGTGTATGGTTGATTTGTAGGTTTATATTAATTGAATGATACTGTACTGTTGATTTTAAGGATTAATTTGTTATTCCTTTCCCTTACCTGTATGTACCGTTTGAATAAAAATATTAAGGAAGGAGTATAATGCTATGTATGTATATGTATATTGTATATGCTACCATCTTCAATGTATTCATGGATGGTCGATGGAGAGAGGGCCCTAGAGTGGGGATCCTTGACAGTTCTGTTTGACGATTTATTTGACACATTTGAATTTTAAAAAAATGGCTATACCTATGTGGCGGATTCATCTCTCCAAAAAATCCTATATGGGTATTTCGCCACTGCAAGAAAATCTACAAAATAAAATAATTATTTTTTGTAAACACTTCTGAAAACCGATCATATAGGAAAATCACTTAAAATTAACTAGTTATATATTTTTTCTTGCATTTTTGCTTTTATTTACTATTTGTCAAAGATTAGATGTCAAAGATTTTAGATACGTCAATTTAACTTACCTGCTTCAGTAGCGTATCAGATATTTGTGTTAATAAATAATTTAATTAATCTATAACTTATCCATTTTTATTAGAATTATAAATTTTTATAACAATTTTAATAACCAACCAACATTTATTCACAACGTAAAATAAAACACAACAAATTATTGAGTCTACCCTACATCATATTTTTTAAACGTTTTGAATAAAATTAGAATGGCACTGATAAACCGGAATTTAGAGCGGCCATTTTAGGAGCCCGTCGCGCTTGATCTATTTTTGATATGCTCTTTTCTTAACATTTTTATTCAAACGTACATACTTTATAATGGACAGATTTGATTGCAGCCTTCTCCATCTTATGCAAATAAAACTATCTATTAAATTCGTTAAAAACGTCGTCTCTACTGCGCCACACCATATTTTCAAAAAATGGCAGCCGCGTTCTTTTTTTACTTGAAAATTTCCCTATCCCTGTCTCTATCTCTCACCATTTGACGTATTTTTCAGCTTTCTCTATACTTCACAGAGGAAAACGTGCCTCGTTGGCCTAACAATAGATCCTTCTATCGGGAACGCTCGCCGTTGTACGAGTTTTACGTTTCTTTCTACGGCGCATAAAGAACAAAGCTTATTCTGGAATCTTTGGCGCTATTCAGTTTCAATATGCTATTCAGTTTCATTCTGTTCAGTAGAAAACGAAGACTATGGCCGAATACGGTCCGTTGCATTTCGAATAGGACTTTTTCTTCTTTGGAAGCGCGAAAAGAGTCAGAATACGTAAATACGGCCGTTATCTGTTTTCAATTAAGGCGAAGAATGGGCCATTCTTTTGCTTGTTTTTCGTAAACGATGAAATTGTAATTGGTACGAGTTTATTTCGAAACTAGATTGGAGATTAGAGAAATGGAAAATGAAACAAATTTAGTGAATTACGTTTAAAAATTTGAACTTTATTATGTACATTGCCTGTTGTTCATGTACAACGTCAGTATATTTTTTGAGTTAAAAATACTCTTTGTGTAAAAGTGGAGGACCAATAATGAATTATGAAATAATATATCTTTTGGGACTCTCATTATCTTTAATTTTAAAAGAAGAAAGAAATTTAACTTTCACCTGCTAGGGTTAAATAATGCAGATTATGAAGAAACAAAATGTAATTGGTATGAACAGCATACTATAAATATATCAGCATGCAATAAAACATAAGAAGTATATACAATGACATTAGTATTTGGTTGTTTGTTTTGACCAAAATATAGATTTTTAGTTACCTATGTTGTTTCGGGCGAGAAATATAGAGGCTCGGTTCAATAGGGTGAGTTATTGTATAAGGATAGAGTGGGCACTCACCTTTATTCCCATTCTGGACTCGTATTTGGTGATTTGGGTAATAAAACACTGGAGAATAGCGCGCGCTCTCGTGGTGTACACACTACGACTTGGCCGATCTTGTCTCAGTGCTTCTCGCTGAATACGTACCCACTTAAATTTTTTCGGGTAAAGGATGGGAGGAAGGGATAGAATCCATCATATGTTTTCGATATATATCCCGATCTTTCCAGAAAATTAAAGAGTTTGATTGGATATGACTGATAAAAGTTAAATTTTTTGCAGATTCTAAAACTATATATATATATATATATATATATATATATATATATATATATATATATATATATATATATATATATATATATATATATATATATATATAAGCAGAAAGTAGTCTCGACTGACTAGTGAGAAAGAAAATCTGGGATTTAGTGGGGTTGCAGTCGGAAGGGTTTGACAAAGAATTAATACACTTTGTTAATTGTCAAGCTTTCGGAATTTATGTTGTTTTTTATTGAATTTATGTTTCGGATTTGTGTTGATCAACACAAACCATGTTTAATGTAGTTTTTATGAAGGTATTTTCTTGTACCACGTTAATGTCCTGAGGAAGGAAAAAATAAATTCCGAAAGCTTGACAATTAACAAAGTGTATTAATTCTTTGTCAAACCCTTCCGACTGCAACCCCACTAAATCCCAGATATATATATATATATATATATATATATATATATATATATATATATATATATATATATATATATATATATATATATATATATATATAAACGGGATTTGGTTTAAGTATTTAATGCTCATTTCCAACTACAGCCTATTTCCCGTTACCCTACGCCACACATCTCGATTTAGAGCGTCATCAGCTTCTAGGTTACGAGCTTCCATTGCTTCCGTAACCGTTCCGTTCCAGGATTTTCTAGGTCTACCTCTCTTTCTTCTGCCCTGGGGAGCCCATTGAAAAACTTTTTTTGGCCACCTGTTCTCCGGCATACGCAGAACATGTCCAAACCATTTTAAGCTGGATTTTTCGATTCGATCCAGTACTGTCTCCTCCGATGCATTCATGATACGCCTGACCTCGATGTTTGTCTTTTTTTCCATCCTAGATATACCTGCACTTCTTCTAAGGTAGTCCATTTCAACAACTTGGATTTTGCGCTTCACGTCTGCACTCAGAGTCCACAGCTCTGAACCATAGCAAAGAACTGACTCCACCAATGTTCTTCCAAGTCTCTTTTTAGTTGTTGCAGATAAGTTTCGGTCCCACCAGAGGCTGTTAAGACATCCAATAACTTGTTTGCTCTTCTGAATTCGGGTTCATTTTTAGCGTAATGGTAGGCACTTTCATTATCAATAATGCCTACGTAGCTTTGAACCCACAATACGGATATATTAGACCCTGGACTAGTAGCTCTATATCGCAAATCCATTATGTGCTTCCAAAGGGTGTTGGGAGTAAAGTTTCTCTATTTATAATAGAGTAGATAATGAATCCGAGCATATCAGCCAAGAAGCCTCGGGGACACCTCCTTAATGACTAGATGTTGCGTTCAATATGTCAGTATAATCGGTATAGGGATAAGGATGTAATCTAAATTGACTATGTATTTCTCTGTGAACTAAAGCACAGCCAGTGTGACCACTTGAACCATCAGTATAAATTACATTTTCAGGGTTATATTTGGAGGGCATTTAAGCAAATTTGGTTACTGAATGAGCCAGGAACAGAGCTTTTGTCAGATACTAGCAAAGATTTATACACTACGGGAGGAAGAATAATCCAAGGTGTATTATTCTTCCTCATGGAATACCTGGACTATACTGCAAGGAATGGACGGGATTTTTTATTGCAGCATATACCAACAAAGACGTCGGTTTTTCAAGGAGCTTTCAAGGAAACAGCTGGTTGGTTACAGTAGTTAGTAATGGTAAAAATGATCAATGAAAATTAAAAAGTAGAACATTTTAAGTTTTTCGTTATTGATAAAATAGCAAAAGCACTGCACATCTTATTACATAGATCCGTCATAATGTAGGTATGCATACAATTCTGTTACAATCACTGTATATCCTCAATCAGCGGCTATACCGCACCCTTCCTAGCATCAATTCCCCCGCAACACCCTCTAACATACCGGACAATAACTGGGCGCAAAACCATTTATCCCACCGTATAATACCTATTTTACTTCGACAATTATTTTAATTGCGGACAAATAAATTTTTCTCTTTTGGCCGGCGACAATGGACCATTGTCCATCCGCCACAATGCGATGTTTATAGAGCGTTAACGGTCGCGTAGAGTCGATGTTCAGTGTTTTTCAGGTGAGCATCGTTTGAATCATGTCATCTACTGATAATGGTATCGGGACAGTGTCTTGTGTATCAAGGTATGTATTTTCATTAACCACTGTTAAGAGTTTCTGAATGATGTGCTTAAAACTTAAGTCCGAAATAAGATAAATTTTATTTCGCAGATTCCTCTTATAGTGACAAAATACCCAGCGATTTTTAAAGAGATTATTTTTAAAGATTATACTAATTTAAAGTATGTGACGATTTGATATTACTCATAAGACCCTTAAAACAATTCTATAACTCTTTCTGTTTCAACTCGTTTAAGTACACTTATTGATTGAACCTGTTGCTCCATTAGGGTTCCGTATCTATTTTTCAAGTCTTAAGTTACAAAATCTTGGTTTTCTATTTAACAACCAGCAGTATTTTCGGAGTTACTTAGAGAGACTTGTTATATTCGAATTTAACGATATTCTTTTCTTTATAAAATTGAAAAATTTCTTTTAATTGCAAGTTACCTAAACTGATTCTTTTAAATAATTTTATTTTAATGCAATCAGCTAATTGACCCTTAAAATGCAACTGGGGTAATTTAAGAAACCATGTAAAAGTTTATGTAATTCCAAATAAAAGAATTATATCGTTAATATGTAGTTACTGAATCTTGCATTAACAACTCGAAAAAAATTCGACACATCTATTTCACACGAGAGTCTATTTCACTAGTCCAAAAAAGTAGCAAAATAAGCGTTCGGCATTTAACGTTTTATGTAAAATGGCTAGGTATATTTACACAAATGAAGAAGGATATTATATTAAATAAAGGTTTAAACTATATCCGTATCGTTAGCACATTTTTATACAAATATTCCTTATGTTGGGACTAAATTTTCTCGAAAATAAAGACATAATTTAAAATCCCGTTACAATACGGAAATATACTGAAGTTTTGTGATTAGAGTGTATATATCATTTATATGGTTTTGTTTTTGCAAACCTTAATCAAGCCTTAATCAAAGCACGTTTGTTTGGAATTTTGGATATGGCTTGGTTTGGTTATATATAAGGATCGGGCTAAGCCTTAGCCCGCGGTTACATTGGACGCGGGTCCGTGCGTTTTTTTATACGTGCGAGCTCTGACGGAATCGGACGCGCAAACTCCGATGCAATGTAACCGCCTGCGTAGATAGCATTTGTTTGTTTTTTGCTGCGTGCACGTCTGTGCACGTATGACCAAAAAAACGCACGGACACGCATCCAATGTAACCACGGGCTTAGGCAGATTGCTAAAATCTATACTGATATATAAAATCCTTAAGTGACTGACATACTGATTAATCACGATCCTGCTCAAACCACTCAACATAAGAAGCTCTATTTTGGCATACAGGTTGATTCTAGGGTGTAGAGGTTCGATAAGAAGGGATTTTTCGAAATTCCAGTTCCAAGGGTTCCAAACCATATTTTAAGATTTTTTTAAAATGTATACAGGGTGTTTCGAAAAATCTGGTCATTGATTAATCACGATCCTGCTTAAAGCGCTTGACGTAAAAAGCTGATTTTTGGAAAACAGATTGACTTTAGGGTATAGAGATTCGATAAGAAGGGATTTTGAAACTCGAATTCTAAGGGGGTGAAACTATCCCTCAAATATTAAAATATGTTTTATTTTAAAACTGGTGAGTTTTTCGGAAAAACTCTTAAACACCTATGTTTTATTTTGTTGTTTTACATATTTTAAGATTTTTTATAAATTTATACAGGGTGTTTCATAAAATATGACAATTGAGTAATCAAGATTCTGCTTAAACTGCTTGACGTTTAAAGCTGATTTTTGGCAAACGGATTGACTGTGGGGTGTATACAGTGGGGTTCGATAAGGAGGGGTTTCTCAAATCTCAAATTCCAAGAGGGTGAGGTGGAAACGCCCCTCAAATATTACAATATTTGTTATTTAAAAAACGGTTAGTCTTTTGGGAAAACGCTTGGTCCAGCATAATTTATTTGGTTTTTTTACATATTTTGAAATTTTTAAAAAAATCATACAGGGTGTTCCAAAAATTTGGATAATCTCTTAACCACGATTCTGCTTAAACTGCTTGACGTAAAAAGCTTATTTTTGGCAAACGAATTTTTCGAAAGTCAAATTACAACGAGATGAAACTACCCCTCAAATATTACCAAGTTATATAATGATATCGCCATATTGTTTTTTCTCAAGCTAACATAAATATGAGAAAATGTTATCCAGTTTGTATGTTAATGAAAATTCTTGCTTTGCTTTATCATTACCATTACAAATGATTAATTCGACGCGAACGAAGTCGCTGGTACACGCTATTATAATATATATTTCCTTCGGCTACACATCCGCTTTACTCGAATCCTGAGAGCGACCCGAAAGTAAAGCGTAATAGACTCTTAATAGTTTCTTCGTATAAACACCTATAAACACGTCATGTCTTGATTTTTTTGGTAAATAATGATTGTTAATGCAACTTAAATTAGATGAAATATTAAAACTCCCAATAAGTGTTCCCTTGAAACACTTATTTACAGTTTCTGTTTATGATGATTTTAATCTTTTAGAACCCAATTTTTTTAATAGTGTCATGGTTATTTCATTAGATCGGAAATTGTCATTATGAAATCACACCAAATATAATGTATAAAATATATAATAATATAAGATGTCAAAGATTAAACCATATCGATTTTACTATTCTTTTAGAGAAGATGTCTCGGACACTAATCACATAAAACGACCAATGAATGCTTTTATGGTTTGGTCACGAATCAGAAGAAAACATATATCAAACGACTATCCCAGGCTTCATAATTCGGAAATTTCAAAATTATTAGGAAGTGAATGGAAAATGCTTTCAGGTAATAGAAATCAGTATATCAGTTTGGTTATATTCATAATAATATAAGTTAAGTATAATGTCATTAAAAGCCGTATACCATACCTACCTTAAAAATACTATCATGTCTTTGAACTATTTTAATTTGAAAGAACTTTCGATAAAATCAATTTGATTTTTGAGATATATTTGACTGACTAATTATTGTGATAGAGAATTAGAGAAAAAAATACATTTTTAATTTTTAAAATAAAATTTCCAAATTGAAAAGCTCTTTATTAAATTTTCTTTTAGTTTTAAAAATGCTATATTAAATAAGAACACATAAGCTCTGAAGTGCTTGTATGTGTAACAATGACCGTACATATTTATGTACGAAATAAATTGGACTATACTAAAATATAAATATACGTTCACATTCTCAGAAATGATATCAAAGGAAAAAATGGTCACAAAATGCAACATTCAAATCAAAATTTTAATTGATTTTATAAAAGATGATCTATGAAAATCTATCTTTGTATTATACAGGGTGGTCCGAACTGTATTCCGGAAACATCGCCAACATGTTCTTTAGATAAAAATAAGTAAAAAAGTTCGTCTAAATGTATGTCTTAAAATGCTTACTAAATAGACAATACATGTCATTATTGACAAAAAATAAACACGTTGAGTAGATAGTTATTTCACTGAAATAATAAATTTAAGAAATTTTAATTTTTTTTTAAAGTTAATCATAAGTTTTTCTGCAAAAAATGATGATATAACAGTTTCTGTTTCTGATGACCGGTAGTGATAATTTCGATTCCAAATATCTCGAAAACCATTACTCGTAACGATTTTTACCAAGAGACCTTTTTCATGTAAAAAACGTCGTAAATGTATACTTTGTTACTCAGTAGTTTTATACAGGTACGGACGAAAAGTTATTACCCTTCAAACCAGTTAAAAAATATGTAGGTGGCGCCCTCAACAAGTAGGAGTCATATTGATATCAAAATCAAATTTCTCATATCAAAAACTCCCAGGCACCAATTTTCATCCAAATATTGACGTTACTTCATAAATTATTTGGAAAAAATCGAAATAAAAATGAAACTTCTACACCCTGTATTTCCGAAACTAAGCATTTTAGGACATACATTTATACGAACTTTTTTACTTATTTTTATCTGCAGAATATGCTGCCGAAGTTTCCGGAATACAATTCGGACCATCCTGTATATTAGAAAAAAAATTCCCCAATAAGCTATTTAAAAATCTAAATAACTATGTAACTTTGTTCTAAATTGGTTATTGGTTCTACTTTAACCTTTCCACCAGATCACCAGGATCTACTTATTGATGGAAACTAGTTTTATAATTCTCCTTGCAACATATGTTTTACGATACTTAATTTTAGTGTACAGGGTGGGTCAATGGAAATTTTTCACCCCAATTTTTCTCGTTTAAAATTAAAATTTAGAAAAACGCTCGGACACGTCGATTTAATTTTCGAGGGGGAAAAGAAAATATCATAAAATCACTTTCACACCTATAACCCCCAAGGCGGGTGCGGCACTACCTCTAAATTCTTAAATGGAAAGGGGGTCGAGTGATACCTTATGTGAAAGGTCTTTCAATTCCCTTTCTAATGATATAGATGTCATGTACTTTCGTTCAGTAGTTTTAGATATTTATTGATTTAAAGTAGATTTTAATTTATCAGCTAAGTGGTAAACATTTTCTCTCTGTATGAATTTTTTGGCAAACTATGTATACTAAAAATTTTAACTAATCAATCTGCATCGATCGACGCCCAAAAAAATCTTTCAATTCGGAATAAGTGAAAAATGCTCAATTTTGGCCGGGAAAGTTTTTGAAATTTTAAAAAATAAAAAAAAATAAGCTTTTTTATTTAAAAGCTTAATTTTTAGTATACATAGTTTGCCAAAAAATTCATACAGAGAGAAAATTTTCACCACTTAGCTGATAAATTAAAATCTACTTTAAATCAATAAATCAATAAATCTCTAAAACTACTGAACGAAAGTACATGATATCTTATATCATTAGAAAGGGAATTGAAAGACCTTTCACATAAGGTATCACTCGACCCCCCTTTCCATTTAAGAATTTAGAGGTGGTGCCGCCCCCGCCTTGGGCTTTACAGGTGTGAAAGTGATTTTATGATATTTTCTTTCCCCCCTCGAAAACTAAATCGACGTGTCCGGGCGTTTTTCCAAATTTTAATTTTAAACGAGAAAAATTGGGGTGGAAAGTTTCCATTGGCCCACCCTGTATATTTTATAGGGTGACAACGAAACTTTTACACAAACCATCAACCAGCCACATTAGCTAAATTGCTTTATACCGAAAATTTATATCGGAAAGTATAAATTATTAAAGCACATATTTATAACGGTCCGTGATACATGACGTAAATATTTAAATTTCAAAATTAAAAACAATATCAGTCCTAGAAGATACTTTATTCCATAATTTACATTTTCTACAACATTCAGTGAAAATACATATGCAAGCAGTGAGCCTCTTAAAAAAAATTGTACATAGTACTTGTATTAGTGTTGTTATAAGTAACTTAAATGTAAAATTTATATGGATTTGTTTCACCTTTAGAAATAGATAAAATGCCATTTATCGATGAAGCCAAACGATTACGCAGTCAACATATGATCGACTATCCCAATTACAAATACAAACCACGTAGGAGAAACAGAGAAACCAAAGAGAGCTTATTGAAGAAAAGTAAATCGTCTATCGGAGGCTTCTGTGATCCTCTTCAGTTAGCTATTAACAGAACTTTTTATAATCCATGTGGTAAAAATAAATATTTCTTATAAATAAGTATTTTAAAAAAGACATTTTCAGATAAACTTTCTTTACTAAATATATCGGAACATAAAAAATATAACTCCGAAATAAATCCAGCCGAATTTACTTACAGTCAATCTCCAGTGACCTATGTTGAAAATTTGCCTACGCAATTGCCAAAAATTGTAAGTATCAAATTGAAATACATAAAATATATTTTTTTTAAATATCTACATATGAAAAATAAACCTTATTTTTACGTGAGGAATCTCCCCACGAGAGATGGCACATGATTCTTGAAACACCCTGTATATGAAGATGTATTTCAGGAAAATATTTTAACTTCTACAAAGTGGCTCAAAAATGTTTGAGTGGATCGGGATGATTTTTTTAAATGGAACACCCTGTATATTACGGCAGTTTTGGCTTCCTTTCTGATCACCTAATCCTAAGATATTATTAAATATGTTTGGATAGTTTTAAAAATATTAACAAATAAATAAAAAAAGGAGGGCTTTCAGCTATTTTTTAAATTATTAAAAATACAAGAAATGTTCTGAAATCAAAACTATACTAAAATTTTATTATTGTTGGTCTGTTCTTAGCTTGCTATAAATATCGTAATCTTAAACCATACTTAAACCAATTCTATGCCAAACTTTCTAAAATATAAAATCATTTTTCTTCGGTTTTTGAGCCACCCTGTAGAAGTTAAAATATTTTCTAAAAATACATCCTAATATATACTTTAGGTTGGCACTTATACAAAATTCGTAACTTTTTAGCCGACCATACCGACAGGTATGGTAGGCTATTAAGATCGGCAAAAAAAGTTTTTTTAATTTCACTCAAAATCAGTTATTTGGGTCATAAATGACCTAAATATAAAATATTTTCATGGTGTCTGTCTGTTTGTCTGTCCGTCTGTCCATCTCTCTGCGTGCCTCCCGGCGCCAATTTTTTATTATAGGAGCTACAGATGAAAAACTTTTAACCCCTATGGAACCCGTGAAAACCCCTATTTGCGGCAACATTTTCATAGACACCTATGACCTAGCACAGAATAAAAATAGCTTTGACATATAAACGATCAAAAATTTTTATGAACGTAATGTCGTGTCCAAAATCGGTTATTATTATTAATAAAACATAGTTGCGGCAATTTTTTGATTGGCACCCTGTCAAAAGTGTGTTCTCCTAGTCATAAATATACTTAAAAATTAGGTTTGGATTAAAATTACGATGAGCGTGGATTAAAAATACGATCCTGAAGCCGGAACTTAGACTATTAAGGTGCGTTCAGACCGGCTGCGCTGATTCGCGCCGCACCACGTGCATCATTTTTTTAACATACCCCGCTGGCAAGCGAACCTTTAGGTCGGCGTTTACATGTATAGGAGTGAGTCGTTATGGCAATCTAGTAAGTCAGAGTGAGCAAAAATACGAAGTATTTATTACATAACTACTTAATCTGACGCTAGATTCCATGCGCCTGGGAAAATACTCGCCTTCTGTCTTTATTCAGTACATCTTATTTTACTAAGCGTGTTGTCCGTACTCTTCGTATACATGAAAACCGGCACCCAAGAAAAGAAATGCCGACCCTTAATATACTTTTGTGCGCGCTAAAAAATACACTTCCAAAGTACATGTCAAAAAAATGTTTTGCGCGGTGCGGCAAATATAAAAAAGAATAAGCGTACAGGAGTAAACGAGTAACAGTGATAAATGAATAACATCCATTTGTTAAAATAATTCAGCTATTTGATTAGCTCAACAAAGTTATAAGGCATAATAGTGATGGACATTACGATTCTTTTTCGATTTCTCATAATAAATCGATTCTTACAATTCGTTTATTTGAACTACAAATACATTTTGTGTATCACAGTATAAATACTTTTTTTGTAAATAACTTTCATACCGCTTATATTTTATATCCATTGCATTGGGCGGAATTGCAGCACTTTAATGACTAGAATACAACTCCTTTTAAAGAAAATAATATTTAATTAGATGTTAATATAATTTATTAATTAGGTTTGGTATTGTTTTTTTCTTGGTATTGTAAGGATACAAAACTTCAAAACGTTGAAAAAACGATTAAAAAAATCTAAATATCGGCCAATATGTAAAAAATATACCAAGAAAAATATTATATAACTGTATTCCGCGTATAATGTTCTATAAGAGTTCGTTTTTTTAAGTTCGTTGAATTTTCGTTTTCAAAATCGCCCTGTATCATGGAGACACCAAGAATATCATAACAATAATTCGCAAAAAAGTAGCTTAGAATGGTGAAAATAGCAATTTTATTTTTATTAACAAACGATATATCGTCCCATTGCTGCCAAAAGTCACTAACTTACTTTTTATTACTTCCGAGAAAAATGCGTCTAAAGATGAATTACATTGCATAAAGATGTTATAGTTAGTAACTATTCGGTATTAAAATAAAACATAAATAGCCAGAAATCGTAGTTAATGACTTTTGCAATCGATTCTCCGCTTCAAAACATAGTTAGTGATTGAATTTGGTTGTTCGGAAAAATGTTAGTTAGTGACTTTTGGGAGCAATAGGACGATATCCATTATTGATAATCAAAATGGAACACCCTGTAGATATTACGCCGATATTTTACTAATAGCAACGTACAAAAAAATAAGTTCAATAGTCGTTTATTTTCGGCAGGAATACGACAAGGCCTTCGCACCGCTGCACTACAAGGAACCAGACAATCATAATCCGAACGATTATGCCCCCCTAGGTGCTCCCCTGCCGCCCTGTCACTCGTTGCCAGGCAGCATCCATCACAGCGCCTTATTAAAAGCGGCCTCTTTCTACGCCTACCACGATCTGGCTTCGAACAACAATTTGCCGATGTACTTTCCACAGATTTAGGCGCGAGGATTTTTATCGGATATTGGAAAATACTGCATAAAGAAATATGGGAGATTTTAAGATGTAAAAGTGGAAGAAGAGTTTGTTTATAATTATGTTGAACTTTGTAATTTAATTGTGTATTTTATCAATGTAATATTTAGACTTGGTAATAAATTATTTTTTCATATACAGGGTTATTCACCACATAAGACACGAAGTGTTGTAGCTAAATGATTAAGATTTTTACAAATTGTAAGTCTTGGGTTCGTTGAAGAACTATTAGAGCTACAATTTAAATAGTAAGAAGTAAATTTTAAGAATATTTTACAAGATACAGAGTGTCCCAAATTAATAAAAAAATCAAAGTTGTATTTTTTAAATGGAACACCCTGTATATTATTACATTTTTAGTTTCTACGATTAAAATAAAAGTAAATTTGATTAAGATTTACCGCATTTTAATTTTACTGTTTTTGAAATATTTACGTTTTTGTCGTATTGCAGTAACAATTTTAATGCTTCATTTCTCTGTGTGTATTTAAATTTTTAAAACCAGATATTGTACTTTTTAAGAAGTTTAAGTTTTTTTATATCACTAAGTTTTTTGTTGCAATCATAAAAATTATATTACCTTTTACAGAGTGTCTAAAAATATATTTTAAATAATTACTAGCTTAAACTTAATCCGCAATAACTTCTTTAATTTAAATGGAACATCCTGTATATTTTACGAGAATCAGATGCACTATTTAATTGTCTATTAAATTGTATTATACCATTTTTTACCTATCTCTTCAAGTTTTCGTAAAAATGCATTTTCTTATAATTTAGACCTTATTTATCAATATACCTATGAAATATTGACATTTTAGATTATTTTTAAAGATTAACAAATTTTCAAAGAGTCGATATAATTCGCTCATTTTATTAAAAAAATAAAAAAATGTTTAAATATTTGTTTAATGAGGACCAATTAATTTTACCTCAGTATTCAAACTATATTAACTGACTGTTTGCGTTGATTAATAATAATTGCTTCAAATACTAGAAAACCGAATTTTGTATGTGTATTAGACAGTGTGGTGAAAAGAAACACCTTCTAAATTTTATTTCGTTTTTTGACGAATGCTTATTTATAACAACAGAGACGTTCACTTCCATAACTTATTATTGAAGTGAAACTTCTTTTTTGTCTACGCTACTCGTATTACCAGAGAAAAGAATTCAATGGTTGAAAAGAATTCAATGGTTTTCTTATGTTGCATCGAACCTTGGCTCACATCGGCTTCAAATACTGAAACAGAATAAAAATAACTCGAGGTAAGCCAGTGCTGAAAGAGGAAATCATTACCATCATCATCATTTTGCATATTCCGTTCACTGCTGAAAAAAAAGCCTCCCTTAACTCTAGTAATCTGTCTATTTTGTACCACTTGTCTTTTCCGGTTACTCCTTTTATATCATCTGTCCATCGACTAGGGCGTCGTGCTCTGCTTCTGTAGGCCTCGTGTCTTGGTCTCCATACCAGAGGTCTCTTTGTCCACCATCCATCTGTCATCGAAGCCACATGTCCTGTGCAGTTCCATTTAAGATATAAGATAGATATCACCGCATTTAGGTATACTCCTGGTCAATTTTTTATGACATGATTTGGCATTTTACACATAAGAGTAACTCTCAACATGGACCTTTCTATTTTCCGTTTTATGGCATTTATTTTGTTTATGTTCTATTGTTCTCTAATATCTTGCTAAAATTAGTATTTGTTTACACTTCTCACAACATATGCCTGAGTATGAATAAATATTTTTTAAAGTATTCGTTATTATATGAGTTCAAAAATCAACAGTGGTGAACCGATGATAGATTAGCTATTCCTTAAAAGTTAATCGTCATGCAAGAATATTTAGTTTTTTTATCATCATGTAATACTGAAATATTTCCAAAATGAAGGTCAAACAAAAGATAGTGTATTGAAAGTGGGACGAACCTGCAGTTCGCCCATTGGTTGGATCTTGGTTTCAAATTTACTTAAATTTATTGGTATATTAATTGACAAAATCAATGTTTTATGAAAAAAAATTACAAAATTCAGGAAATTTTCTTTACTCTTATAAGTGTTTTATAAAGAATGTCTAACGAGCC